ACAACTGGTTTTTTTAAAGAATTATTTCCATCCAATATTTAAAGACTTGAATTTTATTTAAACTTGAAAATGACTTTGCCTTAACTTTTGTACAAGACAGCTTAGAGTTAATGAGGTCTGACCCCGTGGAGGGTTAGCATGAGTGGAATACAGAATTACTCAGTTACAGTATGTATCTATTGTCACTGGTCTTACTGGGTAAACATACTGTAGTACAGGAACTAGCAGCAGTTTTTGTAATATACCTTAAAGATCTTAAACAGTTGATCTTTTTCAGATTGTTGAAAAATCTGTAAATGCAAATAGTCAATACTGTATTAAATATGTGCACTTGGAAGTGTGTGCTTTGCTTGTACAGTTGTAAATAATCAGAACATATAAAAAGGTACCCTAAAGAAAAAAATCTGATAAAAATTATTGATATTATAAATGTTGCTGTTGAGCTGGATGTAGATAAACTAAATGTTGTGGTTTGAATATTACTTTAATTTGTTGTTTTTTCTTTTTCTTATTTTATTCTGGTGTGCTGAACTGACTCTGCCTCTTCACTGCAAAAGGGAAATGGAACGAGTCTTATTTGAAAGCCCTCAAATGTTTTCCTAAGTCCCTCCAAAAACAAGCAATTTAACCAATTCAAAAGTGTTCTGCAATGTAAATAGTGAATTTCAGCAGTCAAACTAATTTTAAGTCATTAATAAAATCAAATTGAATTGGAAGAAAACTTGGACTGCTACAGAAATAATACACACTGAAGCTTACTTGTCTGCTTTCAAGAGTATCAGAGCTTTCCTTAGTGTATGATTCATAGAATGCAAAGTAACTATAGAAGTTGACTCCTGATAAAATTCCTATTACAAGCATCAATTGGTAACTAGTTGACCTTTTAAATCCAGCCTGTTGAATGCTGCAGAATTGGTCAAAATAGAGCATGCTGGAATCTGTTGATTTTTCGTGTTTAAAAAGTGCACTTTGTGAATGCTGTGGGAGGAGATGGGACTCTTGACAACATCACCAAAACTGCTCGACTAGTTCTGCCATTGGATTTTTAATGCACTTCTCCTTTCCCCCGTGGCAGTGAAAATGGTGGCTAGATTTGTGTATGGTTTAGGCCAGCTGTATGATTCATTTTGTTTGTCTGCTGCAATTGAGAGGCTTACCAGCTGCAAACCATCACAAGTGGTTCCTTACAGTGACTGTACAGCTGGTCATAATGTTCAGCTGGTACCTAAGGTGATCCATTGAGACCAGCAGGATGTGTTGTGCTGTACTAATGTATTCTGCTGCCATTTGTGCTAGGTCAATACACTGTAATTACTGCTTTCCCAGCAACAGTCTGTTGCATCAAAAGTTTAAACCTTCCTCTGATGTGGTTTTTTATAGCTTTTTTTAAAAAAGAAAGAAATGACACGCCAAATAGCTGTGTAATATACAACTTATCCTTACTGCATTTTACTTTGAGGTTTGTTGTTTTTTTTTCACTCGGAGACAAAATGGAGTTTTCAGAGTAGAGTTGTGAAGTTGCATGCAGACTGTTGCTACGATACATAGAGAAATTAAAAAATGTGGCTTTTACAATGAAAAACCTCCCAAAAGCAGTAGCTGAGTTACAGGTTCAGGGATACCATCATTAAAATTGGCATTTTCACCTCATTAGGATTGTGTGGTGATGCTTTTCATTTTGAAAACAAGTCAAAATGGGATCTGAGACCCTTCCAGGAATTTAAAAAAAAACAAAAACAAAACAAAACCAAAGGTTGCTTTGGAAACTTAGTGTAATTTCAGACAAGTCCCCCACCATGACACTATCATTTGCCACTTAGAAATCTGTGAACCGTGGCAAAATTTGTGATGTTGCTGCGTTATCCTTCCAAGACTTCAGCAGTTGGCATCAAAAGGCCCTTGTTTTAGAGTGATGCAGTGTATCACAAGCAACAGCTGACTGTAATGTGCATAGCTATCTCTTTCTCCTTCAGCTAGCTACAGTTAGGGGATTTTTATGTGCTTTGTAACCTATTACACTAATAGCAGCAGACAATCCACAATTTCTAAGGAGACCTAACAGCTGCCAATTCGTGACATAGAAGTGTAATATGGGAGCCTTCTTGAGGGTTTTTGTTTTTGTTCTTCTTCCATTAAGACTGGAATCAAGCTTACATGTAAACTATCAGTAATTTAAGTTTCCTTTTGTGTCATAAAATGTAAAACTGTCTAATTTGAAAAAAAAAATATGTAGGTTATGAAAAATAAAGATTTAGGCACTGTTGAATTCCTGATTTTTTTAATTAAACCTTTCTTCAGCAGTATTTTTCATTACCTGTTGTCTTTTGCTCCCATTTTTGGAAATTGTATATTTCTAATTTTGGGAAAAATGTATCTTTGCTTGCTTTACTGTTCAACACAGCTGTTGTAACCATCACCTAAGGCTATGCAGCAGCAGCAAAAACACCTGTGACAACTGTGAAGGCAGTTCTATTTTAAGAAGTTCTGTAAATTCTTTAAAAAAATAGACAAAAAAGCTGATGTTTTGTTTACTAGAAGCTATAATCTCTAGTGGCTTAGATGTAGGCTTCATAGAATCATAGAATGTGTGGGGTTGGAAGGGACCTTTAAAAGTCATCAAATCCACCCCCCTGCCTGCAGTGCACAGGGCCCTTTTTAGCTAGATCATGTTGCTCAGAGCCTAGTCCATCCTGACCTTGAGTGTTTCCAGGGAAGGGGCCTCCACCAACTCTCTGGGTAACCTGTTTCAGCTCCTTAAGCTTGCTCATTTTTTAGCCTTATTTTCACAATGGGGAGAAAAGAGGAGAAAGGATCTGGTTTTTGGTTTAGCTTTTTTTTTGTTATCCTTGTGTCCAAACTGAATGTGCTAAATCTCTCATGGGTGTACACAACTGGTTTGGGAAAGTCCTAAGATAAATTGTCCCTCTCAAGTTCTTGTCAGTTTGAAGAGCAAGTTGCTTTGTGTGTTTGTTAGGCATGTATTGTGTGGAAACCAGCCTGCAGTCTGGTGGCTTTGCATCCCACTTAGTACGTCTACCATGGCTAAGGATGCTCCGAGGAAGGAGGGATAAATGGATCAATTTAGAGTTGTAAAACATACGGAAGCTGGAAAGTTCTACGAAATCCTTATGGATGGAATTACTGGTACCTAGTAAAGTGTCTTGAACGTCTTGCAAAATTTGAGCCAAACTTGGACAAATTCTCTGTGCAGCATGAGATTTCAGACAGAACAAGTGGGTGACGTTCAGCAGCTCTAGCCTGTCTGCCTTGTCTCCAAGGCTGAGAGCCTTTTCCAGAAGTAGCAGTTCGTAAGGTGTAGCACATGAGAGAAACCATTGTCATTCTTGCTTTTTGTTCCTAACTTCAAATTCCTTAGGTTGGACTTGGGGTGCAGCTGGTGCAGCTCCCAGCAGCCAGCCCTGTGTGGTGTGGGAGGGAGCTACAGGTGGGACATGAGAGTGGCAGGACCCACTGTTTGTTGGGAATGGGTTTGGAGATGGGCAGTTGGATAGGCTGTCTGGGGGAGAAGTTCTGTTTCCAAACTGACACTTCTCAGGGATCCACAGTGTCTGTGGCAAGCCTTGCCCACAGAGTCTTCTCCGCAAGGAGGAATGTGATTTCTGTCTAGTTTCCCTTTAGGAAACAATGTGTAAGATTTTTAGTCTCTCCTGGTGTTCTCCTTTCCTATGATTCAGGGTTCTCATTCTTGAGAGCTGCATCACTTGTGGAAGATGGCAGCTGTTGATCCCTGCTCCAAAGAATTCCACACACCTTTT